ACCTACCCATCATGTTGCAACTTCTACTGGAATGATTTATTTCAAATTTTTACAGAATCTTCTTTATAGACTTCTCTTCAATATGAACTATGCTCATTCCCAATTTCCGACTTTTACTATATTTAAAAAATTCAAGAATATCAAAAAGTAGTAGAAAAATATATATTTACTTCGGACAGTCGCTATTTTGTGAAAAAGCATTTTTTACTTGTCTGTAATTCACATTATTGCGAAATTGATGCAAATCATGGGTATGGTCAGGTGCCAGTTATTTAAGACCCCCCAATGCATCACCTCCTTGAATTAAAACTTTATGACTATTTTTAATCTTCATCTTTGTTCAATATTCTTAAAACATTAATGAATAACTTGTAAAAAATATAGTAAAATATTGTTTGCCTTCTCCTACGGCCTTTAAAAAATCGCTTAACCCTTTCGACTTGGATGCCGCCGCTCGGAATTGCCGAGTGGAAAGTGTTAAAACTCATGCCTCAAGAATAAAATACCGCCTAAATTCAATTCTACCGATTGTGCAAGATTCTGTCCTCTAAACTATTATATTTTGTAAGCTATAATTAATATTCGTGATTTCCAACAAGAACACCTCTCACAACTCTATTATCATTGTTAAGATATTCCCATAAATACCGATTTCTCGAGAAAGTGACATTTTGTAGTCCCTCAGATTTGACACTTTATGGATATACATTTACACCCAACCCTCCGATAACGCGGTGAGTGCGTATCGTGCAATATAGAAACCGTGCTATAAGAATTGCTATATTCATATTGCGTTATATGGAAACCGGCTATCATGTTGTATAGAAACCACACTGTAAAAAACTAAGAATTAGAACAAATTGCATTTATATGAAGACAAAAGACATGATAAATTACAAATTGTTTTGATTGGGTTAAGAGTTCATTAAAAGACATAAATTATTTTTTATTGAATTGAAGAGTTGCTATAAAAATATAATGCAATAATATACATTATTTTAATGCAATTGAAGAGTTTATGTAAGGATATGATAAAAGATAAAACAGACAAAATAACTATTTAAAAAAAAAAAATCAGGGATCGATTCTGCCGGATAACAGACCAATGTTATGGCAAGGCTATGTCATGAATACCTTTACATACAAATTCTTTCTAAATATTGACAAAAGCTATGTGGTTGCTGTGCAGTCAGGTAATTTTCTTAGGTTGTCAGATAAAAAACATAACCTAGAAACCGCACAAAAGTTAAAAAAAACTATGTTACACAACAGGGTCTTTCTCACCCAGCTTCATAACATACGAGTGACGTTGCAGTTTTTGTGCAAAACGCCTGAATACATGACATTTTGACAGTATTCAGTATGATGCAGTAGCGTAATGTATAAAAGTTGGAGCGTAACATGGCCTTGCCTTAACATTTGTCTGTTATGCGGCAGAATCGGTCCCTCAAGTTGAATTTCTTTTAGAAAGACTAACATTCTGTGAAAGAGCTCTGCTACTACTGAAATCATGGCATTTTTACATGACCATATCGTAAAAAATAAAATAGTCTGTTATAAAATCTATATTATAACCTTTTACAACAATATCAAGTTACTGGAGTCAAAAGAAAGTCATAGGATGTTGAACAGAAACCGTGTTATAGAAGTAAACGTGTTATCGGAGGGCTGTCGAAATTTTTGCTCGCAAAGTATGAGAACCGCGTTCCTAGATTACCACTTTATTGAAGGGTTGACTGTAATCAAATATCAAATTATAATTACATTATTATAAGTATACTCATTTTTAGTTGTCATTCATACTATATTTGGTCAGGTAATATATTAATCATAAATTGAATACAGAAAATTGTACAGCAAAAATATAGAATATATTAATTTAAAACCGGCAATGAAATTTTTAAATATTTGTTAAATATAATATTTTTTATGAAACCTATACCGGTTCCGTGCAGGCTGGCCATCCAATAAAATAATCTATTTATGGTCAATATGTTTCCGTTCAATTATTTCTCTCTATAAGCTATATGCATATCCAAACGAGGTATTAAAACTTCACAAATTAACAACTTAATGAATAATTTTAAAACTATATCAACTCGGCTTTAGTTTAATGTGTCCATTCTCGACTATATGCATAACCTTGACTTATAATTCAAAACTGGCGGGGTGTTCAGCGATTCATGACAGGAAATTTCATGGAAAGGGAAAACACACCTCAAGTCATTTTCCGGCGATACTGTTGATAAATGAAATAATGTGTAGGCAGATATATTGTTCTGTGTCATATCTCATAGCGAATTATTATTAAACCAGATGATGTTCTGCGGAATTTTAATGAATAGATAAATGAAACGCGTGATATTAATTAAATTCATCAACTTTGATATGACAAAACGCGCTAAATAACAATATTGCAACTGTCGCTCAAAATTGTGTTAATTAGTCGTTTCTCTTTGAAAACGTACAACTTTATTTGAAACGGATGAATATATATACAGTGGTACCCCGACAGAAAAGTTTAATTCGTTTTGTTACCACGCTCGTATGTCGAATCACTCGTATCTCGATGCAATTTTTTCCATATAAATACATTAAATTCATTCGTTAAGTTTTTGAATATGAAAATAAATTTACTATTTATCAATTTAATTATTGCTTTTTTTCCTGTCCATTCATCACTACAAAAATCAGTTAGACGTGTTTCGTTGAACAACTTCCATGCTCGAAATTTTTCGAGGTCATTTTTTAACCAGACAATTTTAGAACTCAGAAAGCAGCTTATAAATTTTTATAGAGCACTAGGCTGGAGTTATTACCGCGTTAGTTCGAAAGAAATTGCCCTTGTCTTCAGATTCACGGTTACAAAAATACATAATATTTTGTAGATGTGCAAAAATCAAAATATTATAGTAAAAATTTCAAACCTTAAAATAAGCCTCAATATATTCGCGTAGGGTAAATCGTTACTAGACAATTAATATTATTATATAATTGAAATAAATAACTGTAAAATAATTTAATATAGCAAAACAGCCAAAATATTTCTATGGTAGGAAAATCATTGTTACAACTGATGAAATTTTTCATATTTTCATATTGCAATTAACGTTTTCCTGGAAAACTCTTCCGGCCAAAACTTGTAGATCGAATGTTGCTCGTATGTCGAAGCAACAAATCGCTCTTTTAGCGGCTCGTCTCTCGAAACACTCGTATCTTATGTCAATCGTAAGTCGAGATACCAGATATATATATAGGAGTCCTTTAGTCCGGCACCCAAAAAACCGGAACAGCGGTAGTTCGATAGTAATGCAGATAGACAGACATTTTTTCGTTTTTTTTTATTTAAATGTGCCTTTATAGCACATATACTGTGCCTTTATAGCACTTTATTATAAAAACGCTCGAGAGCTATTAGAACGTGTTCGGGGTGATTCAAAATCAGTCGGGAAAACTCGCTATTGTTCGATAATCGTTGCGTCAATGGTAAATTCCGTTATGTCTAGGTTTATGAACAAAGTTCTACGAAATACGTAGTCCATACATTCTGCAAATGACTCGTCCGTTTTTAAGTTAATCTACTGAATTCACAGACTTAGTGCACATATGTCTATAGATTTAACCATTTAACTGTGCATTGACTAGGTTTTCAAAACTTAAGCCTTGGTATTCAAAAGGTGAGAAACGAAAACGCGTAACACTAACTCTCAATCAGAAATCATCAATTTTTTGTTTTTGTAAAAAATAAAAATGTTTTTTTTATTAATTTATATATATTTTAATGTAAAATAAGCTTTTTTGTACTTCTTACTTATTTTGTATTTTAATTATTAACCTCATTGTTACTGCCCGATTGCCCGGAATTTTCGATAATCCGACAAAAGAGTTGGTCTCAAGCAAGCCACTAACTTCTAATATATATGAAACTGTTATATCAATATAATATAATATAGTATAATATTTAGTTAAGGAGAAAGCCTGCTTTTGAACTTAAAAAGCTGTTTTTTGCAAAACTGTCTTACAAAACTAGCCAAGAATATATTACTAAAATTTCAGAAACAAATTCATATTATCTTCGGAGTTACAGAAGAAATAGATAAATAAATAGAAAGAAATAGTGAGCAAGCGCCAAGCATGTATTGTATACAAGCGTAACGAAAACTTCAATGCGCGATTTCTCGGTTTTTAATTTTTTCGATTGTTTCTAATTGGCTAGAAAAATAGGAAACAAACTAAGCATTCTAACAAAACGAGTCAGAATTCATTGATTTCAGGATTAAATTCTATTCTAGTTAAACCTAAAAAAAAATGAAAAAAAATTATAGATAATCCACTTTTTAAACAATCTAAAGTGTATCAAAAAACATGTTTTTACCTTCAAGTTGTAAAAAATTAGTGAATTTCTCTTTTTCTGGATTTTTTAGGTTCAACTAGAATCTATACTGTTGAAAATATATATTTGTTTTGATTTTTTTGTTACGGATGAAAATTGTGACCTGCATCTTTCCCGACAAATGACATCTGCACGCTCGTGGCACATCGGCAAAATGCTTGTACCCGGCATATTATGAAATATATTTTAATGAAAAAAATTGAGAAAATTTAAAAAATTTTAATTTGAAAATTTTCTTTATTTGACTTAAATACATACATTGATTTTTACATAAAGATACAAATTGTATACACCTATTCTGGGAATATCATTATACTATCATAATATAATATTGTTTGCATATATATATTTGTTTCAATTAACTTATATAAGTATGAAAAGAGCTATTAAAAACATACTGCAAAATATTGAGAAGAATGTTGAAATATATAACAATAACACCTACGATTTTTGAAACATCTAAAGCCGACTCCCATCGTCGACATATAATATACTTTGTAATAAGGTGATGCAAAGTCCTCAACTTATAGCTAATTTTTTCCTAAAATTTTCTTCTCAACTTGTAATTTATTTCCTTGATTCTAATGTCACTATTTTTACCCCACAGATGTGTTCACGAGTACATGGACGTGTATGCAGAAGTGCAGTCTGCGGAGCCCGGCGAGTTGATAAACTCGCCGTTCGGCGGCCGCTATTGCGGTCCGATCCTGCCGCGACGACGTATCTCCCTGTACCGCGCGGTTGCCTTGTCCTTTTACACCGACAAGAATCAGACGCACCCGGAACTATTCGCAGGACGATATGCCTTCATCAACGACAGTAAGTATGCATGAACTTCCCGATATGTGTAATAATTGACTTTCAACCGAAATTGAGATTTAGATATTTAGATTAAATTTTCAATTGCTGTTTCGAAAATAATCGCTTTTCAATTGAGATTTCCAATGGAGTTTGCTCAAACGCATTTAAATTACCCGTAGTTATATTAATTATATTGCACAGACACGTGCTTGTATGTCCTAAAATAGTAGTTTATTATTCCAAATTTTAATGAATTGACAATGTTTGTCTATCATATCACAAAAGCAACTTTTGACACAAATTTTGACTATAATGTTTTTTCAAACTTCGATGAATTTTATAAATTCAACCACTTGCCGTAAGGTCATGAAATTTTAGTATGGTCTTTAGGACCATGACATCTATCAAAACAAAACCCATCGAAAATTGCGGGCTAAAACGTATACAATTTTTTTTTTTACTTTTTTGCTATTCACAAATAAACTTATTAGCCAAGTTTATTCGTCACCTAAAACTGTCAAAAACAAGTTATTATCGAGTTACATCAATAAGCTTTAAATTTTTTGAAATCGCCCCGGTCGTTTTTTGAAATAAACGTCGACGAAAGGTAAAAAATCTGTTCACACACGCACACACATAGTTTTTTCAAATTTGATCTCATTCGATTCAGAATGGCTTGAAACGTCGAGAAAATATAAAATTAGCAAATAGGATTTTTTTATGAAAACATAGGCTTCTCCTTCGGTAAGTTAAAAAGCGATGTGTAAAACAAATGTGTTTTACGAAAATGCTCCGAAAATTATACAACAATTGAAATAAAAGTTTTTTTTTTAAATTCATTGAAACTCAATTATTCTAAACAGATTTAACTGTTAAATTACGGGTACGGTGTAACGGGTTGTTTTTACAATACATAACGACAAAGTGATAAACAAACGCTTTGACAATACGGCCCTGAACGAGGCGAACACGTGGTTTCTTAATAGCGTGTCAAATTCCTTAAAAAATAACAAAATCCCATCGCCTTTTAAATTTTCCAAAAAATATAACACATGCTAAAAACTACTTTGAGAAAGTTGTGACATTTCTATCCTAAACTCCGAAGAGTAAATACATAGTTTCGACAACTTGTCAAGTTATCATGATATAGTGGTTTTACCATTTGGATGTTTGTGTTAAAAAATACATATCTATCAATGTGCACATACTCATACCATGGATTAATAATGGTTTCATATGCTATATTAGGATACAAAATTGTAAGTGTTTTTTACTATTATTATTATTATTGTTTTTCCATGAAATTTCCTTCATATAATTTTGTTTAGTTTCAATTTTTATAGTTAACTTGATTACCACTGAATGATGGCTAAGATGCTAGCCGAACGTATGGATTTTAAATAATAAAATTTTTTAAAAAAACTCATACTATTTTTATTGATGTTACGCCCGAATATTAAACTCAAATTTAACATATATATCAACATCAAATTCAAGAATATTCAAAAATATATATATATATATATATACATGGTGCCAGAACTCAACGTCAAACCGAAACGGTCGACTTTAAAAGGCCTTGCTTTTTTTTTTTTAAAAAAGTATTAAAGCATGTTACAAAGTTCCACCAAAAATCAGGGTTGTAAAATGGTAAAATACTTAATAATTTCATAATAAATACAATCTGGTAAAAAATAAAAACCTAAAAATGTTTCTGTCTCATACACTGAACTGATTGTGAAAATCAATGAAAATCGTGTAATTTTTAAGTTTTCATTCAAATTTTCGTATAAATTTTATATATGAAATATAGGGGACTTCGTTTTCCTCATCGAATATTTTTTCGATAAATGCCGCATTGGCAGTTGTCATTGTCATGTAGGGGAACTAGGGGCTATCTGTAACAGGGGTAACTAGTAACAGGCGTTTTTCAATAGAATCTTAAACAATATTAAATTTTCTGCCTCGATTGGATAGGTAAATAGTCGTGTATAATATTGCCATAGCCACTGTCCAGCAAGCTGACGCAATAAACAGAACTGTGCACGTCCGTCATTTTTACAGGCAATATAAAATGGATCTATCATAAAATTTCGGTTAGCGTTATTATTATCGATTATTTTTGAATTCTATATATATATCATCTCGTTTTAAATATATCATTCTTTGACAATGTGTAACAATTTTTGTGATTGTTTAATTGTATAAATAGTTATTTTGATTAATGTAAAAAAATACACCTGGGGTTAGTTGAAACAAAGCCTCGGGGCTAGTTATACCATAGAATCGAATATATAGTTATGATAAGCCCCTAGCTTGCCTTCTCAATTTATTTAAAGATATCTAGTTTAAAGGTAGAGTATTAATTATAATAAACATAATAAACTTTTAAAAATTCAAATAGTTGATGCAGTCAATTGCAAGATTGATGTACTTTTATCAATGAGGAGAATTAGGGCATCCAATACCGTACAAAAATCTCAATACCGGTATTCGATATCTGAAATTTGAAATACCGGAATACCGGTATTGTCAATGGAACATTAGTTATCTTTTTACTTTCCTCAGTTTTTATATTGAAATATTAACAAACAATATTGCCTTGAAATAATAACATATTATTTATTTTATTACATAGGGAGAAAGAGTAGATAGATACAGAAAAACGTACCAGTAAAAATGTATTATATTAATTTCTATATTATAATTTACCTGAGATAGATTCCAATGGAATTATTACCTTATTAAAAATATTGCTTTATTACTAATTTGTGAAGATATTGAAAGAGATGTTTCTTGCTCAACCTTCTTCCATATTTTCTGTATCTAACTGATTTTGATGTGTGAACCGTTTGGTTAAGCTTACAATTTTTTTAATGAGTGCATATTTCGATACGAGTTAAATATTATGATCAACTTTTACATTAGGCAGCTGTCGAAAACATATAAAACAATCGTTTTATTTTACCGACACCGCAGTTTGTCGATGTATCATATTCGGCTCAATATGTGTAAAGCATTAAGTAAGTACAATTTTTAACAAAATACTGGTAATACCAAAATACCGGTATTTTTGTATTAATACCGGAATTGAATACCGGACAAATATCGTCCGGCATCACGGAATCCCGGTATTGTAAGCTCTAGTTGCAATATTGATATATAGAGAAAAGTGGTACGTAATAAGATATTTCCCGAGCCGATTATATGAAAGAAATAACGATGACATAAGACTTTTAAATATTTATTGAAACTACAAAACTACTTTCTTCCATTTATTCCTCGTTTTGCTGATTTTGCCATAGCATTCTAAATTGGAATCATTGAATTAAACATTAATTTCCTTTCCAGGCGAATATGAGGTCGGCACTCCCGTGCCGAACACGGCCTGCAGCTTTACGGTGCAGGCGAGTAAAAAGAAGACAGGTTTCATTATGTCGCCGACGTATCCTGGCGCATACCCGAAGGATCTTTCGTGTACCTACCAGTTTATCGGCGAACCAGGACAGCGTGTTCGGTTGGAGTTTCGAGATTTCGATCTGTTTTTCGGCGGACCACAGTGAGTTCGTAGACTAAATCTTGACATTTTTATAGACCATTTTAATATTGAATGACTAGTTTGAAAGTAACAGGGCAAATATTAATTGTATTGAAATTCGAAATTTGGTTTTACCGAAAACGTGATAAATACATAATTTAAACCACTATATATAATATAATATAATATGAATTTTTCATGCTTGTGCGTCTCTACGGCTAATTAATTGTATGGTGATGACTCATGTTTCTAAATATTAATGCATATTCTATAGATAGATACAATAGTTCATTCAGAAGCTATTCTTAATATGCCCCCGAAAGTGCAAACTAAAGTTTTGCAAAAATGATGATTCATATATGGGCAAAAATCTGCAATTATCATATTTTAATGTAAAACAGTAGTTTAAACAATTTGTTGTTGCATTGTTCACTTGTATTATCCCCTTTTTCTATATCTTAGTATGAGAGACGGTTAAACGGTTTGTAAATACTAATTCCTAATTGAATATTATGAAAAGCTGCATCCAGTGTTTCAAACCTTGGAGCCTCTTTGTTTCAAAATTTCTGACAAAAATGTTGCAAATCATTTCTGGTGGGTAAGTAGAGCGACTGAATCTGAATCAGAGGTCCTTCAATTAGATTCGGCTTCGAAGAGCCTGATGTCAAGCAGTAGTGACATCCGTTTTCACTTGGATCTATCGATAGCAAAATGTTTCCAAGTGAAAATAGTTCACATCCGGCATTGCTCCATCATTAAAATATTTAATATATTACATAAATTATAATAATAACATTTTTCTCACAGAGAAAACTGTTCAGGTTGCCATCTGTAAAACCGACGTAGTTTAAATCAAATTAGTCTAACAGCTTATAGGACTCATAAGTTCTGCTTGGTATTCAAAAATAACAATCAAAATCTGATTCTGATACTTCTTTCTTGAACCGCTATTTTACCATTTTCTAAAACACGATGCAAATGCTATTTTGCACGATAAATTCATAAAAAAATACAAAAATACAGCATTACATTAATTTTATCATTCCCAAGCCTTATTCATGTTCTTAAGCTCTAAAAACATGTAATGATGATACGGCAAAATTGTGAAATTGTATACAATAATCGGAACAAATTTAACGATTTTGATTTGTGAACGATAATAATGATTTGTAATCGAATCATTTTTTTAAACAGTAGAACCCCCTTTGTTTTTCTAGCAATCTAATTTCATAAATATCTATACACCTCATATTTAACGGGCCACAAAATAATATGTAATATGATGTGAAAATATACACAAAAATAATTATTGATTCTTTTTACACTAAATCGACCTTTTTGGTTTATATTCGAAAGAAATATTTTAGGAATTGATTCTTGCCCCTCTTGCAATAACCTACCCTAAGGAGGGACGGCCCACCGATTGGAAATTACTGGATTTAGGTATTATCATGGTCTTTCGTGGTTTCCAATGGCGGTATTTAGCAATTATTTTTAACTTCCCATAGGTTAAGTTATAGTAATGGTCCAAAAATCGGAATTGAAAATTTTTACATTGTTTCACGTTTTGAAGGTTTCTGAACATTTTGGCACACCTTAGAAAAAAATTATGTATGTGTGTGTATGTATGTGCGAATACAATTTTTGTCGACAATTTCGAGAACACAGATCAACCGATTTGAATGATTCAAAGAACATTTGTATTGAGTATTGATAAGTAGACGTGCTGATTAGCTGATTGGTAAAGGCTGGTTTAGGCGATCCAAAGATACGGAGCAAAAAGTGTGAAAAATGAACAACTGGTAAAATTTTTGGGAAAGCAGGCTTCTGGAGATCGAACAAAAGAGTAAAAAACAATGACATCTGCCGGTCAAAAATGATCATTAGACATATGCGCATCAAATTATCAGATATTTTAAAAATATTATAATAATAAGTATAAATTTTGTGTGCATTTCTATGGGTTTCGTACCAATATTAACACGTTAAATATTTGGTATTTTATTCATATTGATGTTGGTCCTTCATTAGTTTTAATCATTTTCTGTAATTTTCAGCTGTCCATTCGATTTCGTGAAGGTATACGACGGCCCAGACAATACTAGTGCAGTGGTTGGGACGTACTGTGGTCAGCAAAGGAACCTCGTGCTATATTCGAGCGAATCGCAGCTGGTCGTACATTTCAAGACACTGCAGCGCACTGCCAATACGCAAAACCGCGGATTTAAAGGCATTTTTGAGTTTTCGGAGAGCTTCGTCAAATTAGGTAATATAGTATAATTGATAGTCAATTGTTGAAATTATTTTGCTTAGAAATTAAATGATCATCCTTGACCAAATAAATTGTAAATTGCTTTACTTTTCTTAGAATAGTTTACCAAGAATTTAACATTCTACGATAACCATTTCAAAAAATTTTATTAATGATAAAAAAATATCCTAAAAAAGCAATTTATTAACTTTTCGTAGAGTAAGATATAGTAATGGGCCGAGGTTTCTGAAGATTTTGGCATACCTCAGAAAAAATTGATATATGTGTGTGTGCGTGTGTGTGTGTATGTTTTGTATGTCCGCATTTTTTCGTCCACGTTTTCGGGCGCACGGTTCAATCGATTTGACAGATTCAAAAAACATACGATTTCTATGGATAGGTAGATGTGCTGATTTGTTTTTGGCAGAAGCAGGTCCGACCGTTACGGAGATACGGAGCAAAGTGTGTAGAAAATAAAAATCGAGGTTTTGAGAGAACGAAGTATCCGATTTGTATGATTCAACAATCATTCAATTTGTAATGATTGGGAGAAGTGGTGTTTAGTTTTTGGCAAAGACAGGTCCAGCCGTTTTGGAGATACCAAGCTAATTGTACAATATAAGGCAGTTTTTGAGAGAACTAAGCATCCGATTTGAATAATTCAAAAAACTTTCTACTTGTTTTGACAAAATACTTATTTTTGGAAAAAAATATTTTCAATTTTTTTTGTATATCAAAAATAATTCAGATTTTAATTTTAATTCTGGCTAAAGTTCTAAAGCTCACTATCATACTCTAAATAAATAATTCTAACTTTGTAATTCAGTTTATATATTTGTTACGGTACGGGAATTCGCCTAAAGGCACGATGCCGTACACAACTACAAGTTTCACTTACTTTCATACTAAATCAATTTTACACCTATCAATATCATTATTTTTGTAGAAATTTAAAATATCTTTGAATTGCTATCATGATCATTTTCTGCAAATTCAGTTAACTCAACTTCTTTGTCAGCTTCTGAGCTTGCATTTTATATTATTGATTTTCACTCAAGCTTTCTTAGTTTTTAAGGTTCTGGGTATTAGATATAGGGTAGATAAGGTAGATGAATAAAAACGTTCACCACCGATATCTAAAAATCAAGTCAAGTTATATTTGAAATATTTGAAAGCAGAGGGTAAAAGAAGTATAACCAGCCATCAGCTTGATTTTTAACCACGTTAAAAATATCAAGAAATAAACGGCAATGTTTCAAAATCCATAACAAAAGTATTTTCTTCTATTGTTAGTTTTTTTTGTTGTGAGCACTGTTGTTAAGTTTACGAGGTCTTAATATAATTTTTAAGTATAAGTTATTTAATTGTTTTATAAGATGTATAGTTATTTTTAGGTTAGATCCAACAGTTTTTTATATAACCTCTATAAAAGCTTGCATGTGGGTGGGGTAAAAAAGACCAACTAAACCTTTACCCTGGCAAAGGTGTAAACAGTAAAAAATAGTAAACAAAATTAAATTTATATTTTGCATGGATTGAATAATTTAGCTATTATTTTGTAAAATCTCTTTAAAATTCAAAATAAGACATTGGACCTGTTTGTCCCCATGCTGTCACCTGGTGACAAATTTTTATAAAATAACAAAAAAAAAACATTTTTACAATAATGAATTAGCTGGGAGTTTTACTGAATATTCAGATGGTTGTTTGTTTGATATGCGTTAATTGTTATAATATAATTCGTTTGATTTGCAAAATGTAATTGATCTAAATCAAATTGAACTTTTATGGCTCGGCCTATCCCACATTAAAATAAAATAATGAAAAAAATGACACAATGACAGTTTTACTAATTATTAATTTAAAAATAATGTTAGCACAAAAAATGTACCCATAAATTGTACCTATAAATATCTTTTGAGACAAATTAATATAAAAATATTGCACGGCTAGTAAATAAATATACCATTAGGTGTAAACAATAATTTATCATTAAAATTATTTTTGATACTTGCAATGAAAATAGGTCATTAATTGTAATAATTCTAACAAATATAACCAGTAGAGGCTAGCGTCAGGCGTAGTATAATTTGAATTTCTAAGGTCTAATAGTATGCGGCAATACGCATAGGTCGAAATGACACACACAATATTTTAATTAAATATTATTATACTGTATTACTAAATATTAAATTTAATTTTCAGATTTTATAAGCGAACACGACGGCGAACACATTCGTGGCTCAGAGTGCGATCAAAAAATTCTAAGCAAAAAAGAATCCGCCGGTTTTGCGTACAGTCCAAATTATCCATATCCGTATTTTCCAAAAATCGTATGCCGCTACTTTATATATGGGATGCAGGATTCACAACATCTTGAACGAGTGCGGTTAGAATTCATCAAGTTTGAAATTCCAAGGAATTTGACCGTCAAGGGAGAGTAAGTGTAATAGACAATTTAATATGTAGTTAGATTAATGGTTATTAATTTGAGTAATACTCGGCAATAATTAATAATTTTTGATAATAAAACATAAATTTACAAACTAGCAACAGATTATTTGATGAAAAATATGAAACAAGTTACAGGTAGTAAAACATTTTTGGTTACAACCTGAATTTGAATGGCACCAGGGACCAGCGCATGCCATACAAATTTAGCTGTATCCAGGTTCAGAATATATTAAACATATGCCAAATAGATGTATATACATGAATATGACAAATTTCTAATATAAAGTAGAGGTACAATGCCAAACCAAGTATATAAAAATTTAAACAAAAAATGTCCTAAAAATTGTCAAAGAAATAATGTCTTACTATTCAGGTGGCTTATTAACTCAACTGATTTTTTTTTCAATTCTATAGTAGTTGCACGGATGGCTATTTGAAGATTTACCTCAAAGGCCAAGAAGCGACCGATTCCTACGACAAATTCGATCATGAACTATGCGGAGCTGAAGAAAATCAACCGAGTACTGTGGTTTCTGATGGCCCACGATTGGTTATGGTCTTCAGTTCTGGCGAGTTACAAGGAAGAGGTTTCAAGGTAATAATAAATTAATATTGATTAATTTTCTTGGAATTGCTAGCAATAAATATAAGGCAATTGAAAAAAGTTGCAGTTCACTAAAATTTACAAATTTGTAAAATTAAATATGATAATAACGTAAGGAAGAAATTTTATTCATTTAGAGGGACAGAACTTATTGTTATAAATTGGTGGTGTTTGGCACTTTTGTACGTCGATAAATTGATAAAACACTCTGATTTATAATTGCAAAAGCATTTGCTGATTATTTGGTCAACAAAATTCCTTAAAGTTATCATATTCCGTACAGTCAATATTCAAATATATGTAGTAGTATCAATATTTTTGAAATAGTGTGCTTTTGAAATAAGTGACAAGGATAATTAGTTTTTAGCATTGGTTGATTTTTGCCATTTTGCATAGAGACCTTGCATAGACGAATAAAAAGAACTAACAGCAGTCAACATGTTGACAAAATCTCAGAAGTTGCACGTGAATAGCATTCTACAGTATTAAATGTATTCATTTTTTGAACAGAGATCAGAACTACGTGTTCTATAATCTGTGTTGACCATTGTTCATGCTAACCTAGAATTTTATTTGAGATGGAAACCAGCGGTCAATCATTCTCCTTTTTTGGATATAGACGTATATGTATTATATATGTAGTATTACATATGTATTATATATGTATATCTATTTGTATTGGATTTTATATGTTGCAGTAATGCCCTAAAAAAACTCAAGAAAAGCGACTTTTTCTTGATATTTTATTTGAGATCTATAGTGGAAATTTGATATCATACTCTTTGATATCGTGCTGGGCGAGGTTAAGATCATACACGAGACTAGTTTGTGCTAAACCACGTCCTTAACCATTACATTAAGAGCTCATATGCATTCAAATAAACTTTTTGACTATATCTGGTTGTTAAAATACTACAAAAATATTACAGAGTGGCCCCATATAGAGCACATAAAATTGGAATTGATTGATGCAAACTGATAAATAAATTTACGCAAAAAGACAATTTTATCAAATTGATTTAATTTTACTCGAACAGTTTTGGTTACATTGATTGATTGTAACTTGTAAGTTAAGTAAACGAAATCATATCAATCCATCGATTTACTATTTCCTTAAATTTTTGAAAGCGCACCTTTGTATCTATAATTTATATTTTTTATTTCAGGCGCGTTACAGTTTCGAAACGGAGTACAGAATACCAGGTACGGCAGCTCCTGATGGAAGTTGTAGCTTCACGTACAGAAGTTCGTCAAGGAAAAAGGGAGAGTTTAACTCTCCGCGGTACCCGAGTAATTACCCAAGTGACACCAATTGCACGTACCAATTCATCGCGGCGCCTAATGAACAGGTCGCCATCGTCTTCGATCATTTTAAAGTCAAAGCCGATGACGTGAACACCACTTCGGGTGCCTACGGGTAAGTTACAATGAAATTTTCATAATAATCCCATCACAGTGATAAGATATACTTCCCCATTCACAAAAATATATCGCAAACATTTGGTTTACTTCTTATTTTCATTTGGTATTTCATGTTTACTCTTTTCTCAGATCTTCTGTTTGTCAAGAGGATTGGTTGGAAATATACAATCAATACAGGGACGGTGCCGATATTCTATTGGGTCGATATTGCGGCATGACGGCGCCTGGCCCTATAGAGTCGGCGATCGACGCCATCGGAATAAAAATCATTTTACACGCGGATCAGGAAAATGTAGCAAGCGGTTTCAAGGCGCGATACACGTTTGAGGTCAGTAGTAATAATACTAAATTAAGTTTAAATGAAAAAAATCCAGTATTGATGAAAATATTTAGATTCTAATTATAAGTAATATAAGTTAGGTTCCAAATAAATAAGGTTCACCCAGCTTTTCCAAATTCGAAAAATACGGTAATACGGTTCCACGCATTCAAATAGAAGTTTTGTTATTTTTGTGAAATATATATAATGTGGACACTTGTTTATTAACTTCCCCTGGGGTAAAGTATTGTAATCGTCCAAAAATCGAAATTGAAAATTTTTGCATATCTTCACGTTTTGAAGGTTTCTGAACATTTTGGCATACCTTAGAACAAATGGATGTGTGTGCGTTTGTGTGTACGTGTGTGTGTATGTGTGTGTATGTATAGATACAATTTTTTGTCCACGTTTTCGGGCGCACGAACCAACCGATTTTAGTGATCCAAATAGCATTCGATTTGTATTGATGGGAAAACGTGCTGATTAGTTTTTGCTAACATATTACTTAATTTGGTACATTGATTTATAAGGATTTATGGTCTTATGGTATAAAATTGGTCTGCAGATCATCTATAACTCATACATGGATTGTTAATATTGATTTTATTACTAATACCGCACAACACATTGGAATTATCTTGTCGATATGCGAACTGTACTTGTATGTTAGGGTGTTTAACACGTTGACTGCTGGAGTCAATATTCTCTCCTTCTTTTCTGGTGTAGCTGTCTACACACTGCTGACAGTGCCATATTTACTTTAAATCTATCTTCAAAATTATCAGCATAGTTGAAGCAATTAGTTCCTACCCGTACCGTAGTCAACACGTCAAACTATCAAAAGTTTTAAGACTCTTAGCCACTCATCGTACATTATTCATTTAATAAAATAATTTGTTAACTTTTTTACTCATTTTACTATTATTGTTACTCAATATTTACCCCTTTTCCAAAAACGTGGTCTATAAGCAACATACGCTTAGCGGCCTGTGTGTACGAGTGTCGTCTATAGACTACATGTATTTTGTCGACGTTTGCTTCAATACTTATAACTCTACGTTAAATTATTGATAATCCTTAACTCATTGTAATTTTTAGTGCTTTAGAAGTTAAACGTTTAATTTTAAAATATATATTCCTTGATGATTGAAAAATATTTAAACAACAAATACTTGGTCGGCTTGCTGGCTCATACAGCAGTATCACTCTTTTGGAAAATACTCCCTTAACGAAAGAGTTAAAATATGTATACATACTAGAGATGGGTAACTCACTCCGGAGTTATCACTCCGACACAACTCCTTCCTCGAAGTGAATCCGAGTGGAGTAGTCTCACAGGATTTGTCATATCCGACTTCCCTAAACTGATACTAAATCTGTTAACATGTGCAGATATTTGCTTGAGAATTTTTACTAATACAAAGATTTGGGTTAAAAGAAGTGTTTTTTTCTCGTCTCACGGGCAGTTTCAGGACTTTCCAGGTATATAATGTCTCAAAATAATGCTATTTCGTATTCTATATTCTCTATACGATAATGTTTGTCCGTAAATGAGCTCTTTCAATGGTATACAACCAACTAAAAAATATTTAGTATTATATTATACCTTTTACACAATTATGATTTTATAATTGTGTAAAATTAATAGTATGCTAATCAAATCCATTCATAAGTTTTTTGTCAATTTGAGATTTGTATGCACATTGAAATGCATAAAATAGTAATGATTATGATAAAATGAACAAAAATGTTTGAACTATTTGTAAACTATTTCCAAAGTCTTAATAAATCCTTACATGTGTTAACAACACACTAGAGAACACATTTGTGTCAAGTATTATGTTTCAAAGTTGTCGGAGTTGTGGAGTTATTAAGTGGATATAACTCCTCTCTGAAGCGGAGTCAAACCCTAACCGATCCGGCTTTGGATATGATAAGCCCATCTCTAATACAAACATAAATATATGCTTGATCTATTAACTATTGTATCATTTATCTCTCACTTTACAGGCTGCTAAATCAGTATTCGGTGATTGCGGCAGCAACGTGACGGGCTTGGACTACGGCGTAATATCGAGTCCCAACTTTCCGGCGAACTACGAAGGACCTAGTCGAGGAGTCGCTTCGCGCACTTGCAATTGGTTCGTTGCGGCGCGTCCGCAACACAAAATCGTACTTAATTTTGAGTTCTTTGCCGTGGAAGGAGATCCGGCCGGTAACATAAATCAAATAAATTATACATATTTACCTAAAAATTTAACGAGGTATTAAAATTTGTATTTCTTTTTCCAGCCCGTGGTTGTCCGGCTGCCGTCTTGCGACTGTGGTCATCGCCAGGATCGACGCCTGTTACGCCGCCTGTCGAATTGTGTGGCGAAAAACCCGCAGCCGAACGATGGCAGTACTCGAGTACGGGCGGAGCGCTCAGGTTGAGTTTTACGTCGGCGGATAAGGCGGTCGGCGCGCAAGGGTTCCGAGCCGTTTGGACTGAGGTAGAATACAAAAGTTGACGCAATAAATATGCATGCATTTCTATAAGAATTCATATTATATAAAAATAATGCAAAACTCAAAAAAGTTGTTGAAATCAAACTTTTTATAACATGCGCAATGCATTCATCTCCTGACAAAAGACAATTGTATCTGTACATAACCAAGAATACTTATTTCTTTTTGTATGGATTGGTAATTAAGATACTTAAAATATTTTAGGAGTATACAAATACAAAATATCTGTAGCCCCAGAGAAGAAAATTAGAATAAAATTAAATTTAAAAAATCTTAGGCGTTTATTGTATATATTAAATATATACTCGTATACACAATAAACGCCTAAAATTAGCTTTTGATTATTATCAATCACTGATTTTTTTTATTAAAATAGGTTTTTTTACTTTTTTTTAAAGTATGTTTTCGGTATAATGGAGGCACATACTCGCCTTAGTAGTACCACTGTAGCCGTAGTCCTATCAGTCTGGGATCAACTTTTCTTTGGTTAGTTATCAAATCAAACATAATTGATAAAATATTATCTAAACTAATTTCAAAAAGAACGAATGTGCTTATAAAATTAAAGTCTCTTGGTGCTAAGAACCGGCGATGGAACTGTTCATAAAGATAAGGCCATTATTGGCCACTTTGCGTTTTCCAATTTGAGAAAGAAATATGGAAATTGAATTTAACCATTATTTCTTCGTATTTAGCACAGCAAATCTGTAAGTCTTTAAAGTAACCATGAATCTTCAAGATAATATGGAATTGTTATTGAATAATGCGAAAGATCAGATTTTCGAATCTAATTATTTGACAATTATTATAAATATAAAAATGCAAGAATTTGCAGTTTCAAACCATATTTACTAAAGCCAAAATGTGCATAGCACGTTGGTCTTTTAAGTTTTCGAAATTGCCTATAATAATTCGCATCACTTATGTAAGTTTTCTGCATTTTGCGTTATTCTTTCTTGAAAATGATAGTAACATTAGGATTTTAAAGAAAATCAAAGACATTTTTTTCATGGAAATAAATAACTTCATTTTGTAATGTATTGTCATATTGGATCAAGGAGTTTTTGTCCTTTTCAAGCAGCATCATCTCATTTTCATAAAACATCTGGTTTTTATTAGCAAAGAACTAAATCTGGTACAATTTGACACCATCGTAATCATTAAATTTACCATTCAAGGAGTTTTGTAAAGACCAAAACAAAAAGTAATCACATGGTGCAAGGTCAGTACTGTATGTTGGATATGGGCAAAGCATTCCAACCAAGCTTCAATATCCGAGTGGCCAAAAATATGTAATGACAATAATAGAATAAATCACCGTTTCGATTTGCCAATTTAAGCCGATTATTTGCAACTGCATTGTTTAATTTTGTTAACTATTTAATGCAGACATCATAATTGATCATTTGGTTGGTAATAACAAATCAAGGTAGACAATTTCTTTTAATCAATTTCAACTGAGCGACCAGGGTGTTTTTCATCTTTGAGTGAAAAATTACCAGAACGAAACTTGGTGAATCAATTTTGACACTGTCGTTTTGTTAAGGCTCTGTCACCATAAACAACTCATAACTTTTCGTAAGCTTAAGATGTCTCTTTACCTTTACAGAAATAAAAGAGCAAAATATGACAAAAAAAACTAGTTGATTTTCCACCTTTCAATAAATGCCAAACGAAAACTACGCAATGAATCAAAAGAACTCTTTTTTTACTTCAGACATTCTAAACTGTCTACTATTCATTAACAAATATATTTTACATTTGGACCACATCAGCAAACCATTGAAACCATTTAAGGTGAAAACCACACTTACTTATTGGCCGATTCTACCGTAGAATAGACTAATGTTATAGCAACGTATTTAACGTAGTGCCATGCTCGTACGTTCATATAAAATGGTACTAAAATCTGTCGAATGCTATGTGGGGGATTTTAGATAGAAAACCTAACTTAAAAACGCACAAACGTCAAAAAGACGTTTGTACCATTTTATATGAAATTACGATCGTAGCGCTCCGTAACAAAGCCTTGCCATAACATTGGTCTATTTCGCGGCAGAATCGGCCCCTTACTTACCAACTTAATATATTTTAAAAAATGAACAATAATACAATGAAGTGTTTGAAAAATTTATTCAAAATAATGCGTAGTCCGGAATGCGTTGCAAAATTTCTTTTAGTATAATTTGAAAATTATCAGATGAAATTTCTTCTTTAACCACTTCGGTACGGCGCCTACTGCCCACAAAACGTCGTATATTGCCCCGTTCATGGACAGATCCAGTGGTTACACTTAGAAATGCAGTCACTAGTAATTGACGGTCGACCGTACACGTTCTTATCACGTCCGTCACGTAATGGTGACGATCGGCTGGTCCATCTGCGGCCGCCAACTAAACTTGTCGATCATACCGAAGTGGTTAAGTCCGGATCAGAGTGCTTTATTACTATATTCGAAAGTATGTATTTTATAATAAGATGTATTTGTAAATCGTTTCCAGGTGCGAGATATTGCCAAGCCGGAAGACTGCGATCAATTCACATGTGCCAAATCCGGTTTTTGCATATCGGAGCATCTGCGATGCAACCGCGTCGACAACTGCGGTGCGGACGATTCATCTGACGAACAAAACTGTGAGTTACTGCTAAACTCAATTCTAAAAGAACTACTATTTGATCTATTAAAAGTACTCGCACTGTTCCAACCGTAATCTTTTTTCCGAATTAAGCACGCTCTACATTTCGTTCTCACAGTTAATATTTGCACGGCATCGACAATTTTTCCTTTCGAAGTCGTCGATGTTGTCGACATCGCTATTTATTTATTTACAATATTCACTACGTTTTGTGTGAGACGCACTTTAATTATTAAATCAAAATGTTTCTATATTAAATTAATAATTTATTATAGTGTAATAATTAATATTAGAATAAATGATCAAGCAATTATACTAGCTATATTTGCGATGTGAAAGGACTATGCTTGTGCTTAATAATGTACATATAAGAAAACTACTAATGAAATTTTATCGCCATAAGCGTATACTTGATATTTAAGCATTCTATGAATTGTATAATACCTATAGATGTATTCATATAATCTTCTCTATAAACTGAATCGTGTTAGTAGTATTTGAATAAGCCAAAACTAAGAATCCATATCTAGAATAAATTAAATCTTGCTTTTCGTTTTCATAATAATGATAGATTTACGAGTAAAACTTTTAGAATTCAATTTCAATTATTTTCAATGAAGTTGATTTCAAATTAATCTTTTCAACAAAATTACTTCTGTTAAGCTTTGCATAAGTACCAATACTAAATATATCTAATATTAACATATCTACAGTATTAAGTCATTATAGAATTAGTCCTAAGTAAATAATAATATACGCGTTTGAAATTAAAATATTTTAGAAATTTATATTTATGTCTAAATTAATATTGTTGTACCAACTTTGTCATGGCATGCACTTTCTAATACACCTTGTACACAAAAAATTTTGTAAACACCGATATAGCTAAAAAGATCTTTTTGTTTTCAATACTATAGAATTATAATAAATTTAATAAATTAGTAAATTAGCTGAATAATAGTTGATTGAAAATTAAACATTTTTGAATTTGGATCTTTTTAACTTGATCGGCTAAGTACACGGCGTGATGCATAGGAGTACAACAAGGCTATACACAGACGGTTTTGGGGTATTCTATAAATGAGTATCAACGTACTAAAATTAAATATATTCCTTCATCATAACTGTAATATAAAATGTCAACATTATTTTTGCCGAACTCGCTATCAATTTCTAAAAATATATCATAAAAAATAGTACATTATACTATTTATTATGAGAATTTTCTTGTTGTATCAAATGTCGCTTATTTGTAAGGAATAACATCTCTACTTGTTGTATATCTAAACTCTATTGACAAAAATCGTGCTCAAAGTTCATTAATAATTTATGTAGTACATAAATGTATTTCTTCGTCTACATATTGTTAAAGCCAGACCAAATATTTTCTGAAAGCTTTTGAAGTACGAATTATGTCGTGAATAACATTAATTTCATTTTTAAGTTACACTTATGATGTTGTTTTCTTCTTGAAGTTTGCTAATAGCTAATATCAATCACAAATAATTTAACCAGTTAACTGTAGTATTAAATGCTGCTCAACAATGTATGCTCTAATAGTGTAAAAAGTATTTTAAAACTACCTTATCGGACAAATTTTCATGATGTGTACAATGGATTTGAAAGCTGAAAATGTTTTAATGTGCAATAATTGAGAAGTATAACAGTTAACAGTTAAATAAAACTAATGTCACATCTAACAGACTCTAGCAAAATAATAATTTAATGTACGTCTTTTTATGAAAATATTCTTTTGTTTTTGCTGTAAATAATTTATTCATTTTAAAGAATGTTTCTCGATCCTTTTGAAAAATATTAATCGAGTAGCTTGCAATATATACACGAAATAATTTCTAAATTATTTTGCCTTTAACCCTTTGCACTCGGATGCCGCCGCTCCGGCAGCGGCAGTAGAAAGGGGATGTGAAAATTAACATTTTGCACTAAAAATCTTCTATATATCGGTTTATCCATTCAGTTGAGTTACAAGTATAAATAAAAGTTAACAATAAATAATTTAATGCGTTTTACATTTTTTTCTTCGATAAAAAGAAAAATCTACATAAAATTGCAATTAAACGGTACAGTCAACCCTCCGTTAATACGGTACTCTGGTAAACCGGTACTCATACTACGCGGAGCAGAAAATGCACGATAACACGAACCTCCTATTACATTTACTCCTATTCATTCAATAGCCCATAAGTTTCTTGCGCAACATATCAATGACTCTAGTAACTAGATATTGTAAAGAGCATTAATTCAGAGTGTTTCTATATACACATGCTTATATATACGACATCGGTTTTAGCTGTGTCAGAACAAATTACACAGGATATGTTGTTTGATTAAGTGTTAAAAAAAAAATCTGAACCGTTAAATTTTCATCGTGTCAAAAGTAGTTTCTTGGACTGGAAAAGATTGAAAAAAATGTCTATATTACTGAAAATATAAATCGTTTATAAGTAGATCGAAAGTATCGGCTGAACTGAATTCGAACCTTGACCCTTTTGCAACGAATGTCGTTCATAGACGACATCCACATGACGTGCTGTGAGTACGGATGTTGTCCATGGACGACATATATGTTTGCTTTTGCTTCAAGATTTATCACTATGAGTTAAACTATTGAGGATTCTAGTATTCTACTGCTATTTCTAGTTCATTATTAGAAGCGTATTATTTAATTTTTATTGATAATGATAGAAATATTATGCTGTTCCGTACAGCAGCGGCACTCCTGCGGAAAATACTCTCGGGTTAAACAAAATAACGTGTCAACACGTTTGAACTGCCGCGTCATTTTTTAAATAAGGTGACGATGTCATTCACATCACTGTCATTTTTACTAATTCTGAGTTTCTCATAGCAATATCGCAATACACGGGAAGCGAGAACAATTTCTATAGAACACACTACGAATTAAGCCTGGATTGTAGGTTTAATCTGAGTTTTTTATAGCTCGGTTCTCAGACGAGACTCATTCGCCTTATTATCGGAGGGTTGACTGTATTTAGTTATAATACTTCAGTAACAATATTGTGCTACATTGCTTTTATATATTTTCATCTACTACATGCGAGTTGTTAAAATTGCACCCTAAACGAGTATAAATTCGGCAGCTGGAATAATGCAATAACAGACAAAATGATCTAATTTATGCTTTTAAAAAAAGTATCATAGATCAATTTTAATTTTTGTTTCAAAATATAAACTTTAACATAAAATAATTCCTTCTTTGGAATTATTGATAATGGAATAGCGTGTTTGTTAGGTTTCAGTTTACGGTTTTTTGTCTTCGATTTTTTCATAAAAAGGCAGTATCGTATCTGCGTGGGTTAGATGTGAGATGTGACATTAGTTGTTGTCGAACTCGACGCCCCGACCCGTACGACCCGTACGACCGCCTGTCTACGGCCTTGCGCGTACCCACACGTGTTTCGAACGCACTTCAGGTGGGAACTCGGCGCCATCGAGCTCGAGCCACGGCACCTCGTACTTCGACACCATGCTGCTAGCAGCCGTTGTCTTTGTCGCGCTGCCCGTTGTATTAGTCGAGGCCACGTGATTTAACACTTCGCCGCTAAGCTCTATCTGCTAAGCTCTACTACTCTGTTTCTCTACTCTACTACTGCTACAAATCACTACCTTCTACCGCTCTAAAGCAAAATACGTAAAGTTTTTGGACTGCACATACGAATGCATGTCTAATAAACTAGCAGATTATTTACATACAGCTATACTCCTTCGAATCTAACTCCGTCAAGTGAGTTTTCTTGTAGTTGTGCGTGTGCGTGCCTGCGTGTATGATAACTGGGCCGCGTTTTATCAAATTCTTACACAACTCAAATGCCACTTGGACGCGATATTACACAACATTGTTTCGATAACAGGATTACATATTTGGTATATGAGTTAGATTTAAGTTTTTTATAAAACCAGCTCATAATAATGATCATGAATCTAAGCTTTCAATTTTCTATACCTAAAAAACATTCAGATTTGATGCACATTGAGGCCTATTTTCGGATAAAATAGAAATGTTATGGTAATGCTATGTTACGGGTCTATCTTCGTACGAGTTCGCAGTAACGAACTGTCATAAAGCTGTGTTTGCCATTCAATCAGGCGTTTTACACATAAGACCTTACGTACAAAACGCACAAACGCCTACTGGCAATTTTATCATAAGTGCAACTTTCTGATGTCTATTTGATAACACATACGTGAAGTTAGGTTTTATGTGTAACACACCTGTTCGCACAGCAAATATATACGAGAGTTGGCAAATATATACGATATTTTTGAGAGTTTGTTACTACCAACTCAAACGAAGATAGGCACGTAAGTAACATAACATTATCATAACATTTTTATTTTATCCGAGAGTTGGCCTCATTATTTAAAATTCAAAGTCTATTCGAGTTGTTTCCATTTGATCCACATTGTTTAAAACTGTTACTAAAATAGTTTTCTGTATCAGACTATACATCAAGGAATCTTAATCGGTATTTGTGAGAAAGTTGAAAGCTAATGTAGTAGGTTCTGAACTGACTGTAAAGCTAAACTAGTTAGTTCAAAAACATTAGTGCTCTTGCACGCCCTCTTGCGCTATGCTGCTGATACAATTTAGAAAACGTTTATACTAGTTTGAATGCAAGACTGTTGATGTAATTAATGGTTGAATGAACAAAACCGCAGATTGAGCATCTAGCACTCAATATCATGCTAGAATTATATGAACGTAAACATGCGAATTAGATTAATCGCTTTGGGACAAAAAGTTTGTCATCAATAACTTGTGCATAAATAATTTTCAATAGATGCTTTATTCACTTATCGCATTGTAAAAAATGTGATACCAATAACCGAGCAAAATAGTATTATTTAATATTATATTTTGTGCATTATGAAAGGACAGTAGTGTGTGCGTGGAAAGCATGAGATAATGTATGCAAGAAATTTATAGAACATTAATCAAAGAGAAATTATGAAATTAATATCTAATATAAATCTTTGACAGGATTTTCACAATCAATTTTTTTATTTTAAAATCACCGATATCGTTCACTGAGTTTATTGAATTTCCTCTAGCATTTTTATTTAACTTCCATTATCATCTTATATTGTTTATACATCAATCTAATCTTATGAATGCATTTCTAATTGGATATTGCACGGCTTATACCTTTCATATGCATGGTATTTCTGTATTCTCTCAGTACCCTATGTAAAAAAGCTTCTTTTATAAATTTACTTAATAGTACTATATACTGCACGTACTATATTGAAATATATATTTATCATACTGTTTGAAAATATGAGCATGTTATATGTTTTGTCTCAAAACTGTTATTTGTTTATTGTTTAGAATTGTATTTTCGCTAGTCCTTCTCAAGGATCGTAGTATTTGAGATGTAAATAGTCGCTCATTACGATGAAATGTGAAAATATACTATATTCAAAGAAAGTATTAATACTTCACATAATCAATTGCATATACAGAAAGTGTTTTTAAGATTGATTTGCCATTGTTATACTAAACTACCTCCAAAAATCATAAGTAAGTTTGTATGCGATTCGGACACGCTGACATAACATTCAAAATTTATTAATAAATTTTACTTTCGCATTAAAAATAAAAATCTTTAAACATGGTTTGTCATTCTGGAGTTCATCCAGCTTTTAAAATTTTGGATAACTATATTACAAGGGACTTAGCATCTAAGTTTTATATCTGAAATAAAATATGTATGAAGGGACCTATCTTTGTATGAATTGGTAGTAAAAGCTGTCAAAAAGCTATGGATTTGCTGAGCGATCAAACGTTACCTAACCTATAAAATGCACAAAAATTAAAATAACAATTTTATCACAATTGCATCTTTGTAATGTGCCATTGACGAGACGTGAAGTTAAGTTTTATGTATAAAACACCTAATCGCACAGTAAACATATAGCTTTTTGACAGTTTTTACTGATTAATACGATTACAGACCCGTAATGTCTATTTAATCCGAGAATTGGCCCCTAAATCACTTACAATTAGCACACAAAGAGATGTCGGATAAAAATGCAATAGGTCGTGACTTATTGTTTATTACTATTAACTAATTGCGTGTAAGAGCATTTGCAAATCAATGTTAGACTCACTTGTGCAATCGTAACGTGCGGCATGTGGATGCCCTCTAACCGTGCACTCCCGCAACACAACAGGCGCCGCGGACACGCCGGCTCGCGAGTACGGGGCTGTGGCGCTAGGCCTGGCTGCGGCCGCCGCCACGCTGTGCGGTGCATTCGCGATGTGCGCCTGGTGCCGCAGAGAACGGCAGCGTCAGGCGCGGCGACGGGCACGAAGGAGTCGCGGCCACCCTGCTTCGAGTATCGGATGTTCAGTCCGTGGCTACGACCCATCGAGCATCGCCTGCTCCGTCCGCAGACACCAGCCTCAGCAGCCGCCACCGCCTCCGCCTCCGCCGCCGCCTCCTCCGCCACACGTCTGCGACGAGATCGGCGAACGTTTCTCCAACGGCGGCGACCGCACGAGCGTTTAACACACGAACCTAAGCGCGGCGAACGAGCGAACAGTGTGTTTTCGAAAAGTGCCGGACGCATCAGTGTCTCCCAGTGTAATAATAGTGATATATATACTTGATTATCTGATACTCTAAGTGCTTAATGTCTTCACGTTGTTTTTTGAGAGTGCTTTCTTCACTTCTATCAATGAATGTTTTCTTATTTTGCAGGACACTATTTTTATATTTTTTGCAGGAAGATGACGACTTTGGTCACATGCGTTAACGTAAATATTTTTTAAGTAACCAATCTAAAATCTGTTTAGACTTATAATAATTTTTCAATATTTTTCTATCTTTACTGTCGCTGTATATAATTATTGCGTTGCATGTGTCATAACACTGTCTCTGTTATCGGCTGGCTTTATTTGTATCATTATACATTTGGATAATTTGTCATACATCACATAGACACAATTGTATCCTTTGCCGTTCTCCCGTTACCTTTAGAATTCGATGTATTTTTGAAAACACGATTTGAGTTAATTCAACAACAAATACTATTAGTTAAAATTTCATAATCCTGTGAACAAAATTTGAACGGTGCCTGATTATAAAATGAAGCCTCTCTAAAACACAACGTCTAGACCTCTTGTGATGTCACTTGATGAAATTCGTTAACTTTAACTGTTAAACAACATAGCTAGTTGCAGAGGTGTATTCAACTTTTGCTAGTCTCTCTCAATTCTAGTCCAACTTGTCTCAGCTAAAGTTATCGAATTTGACAAGTACAAAATACAAATGTTCGGTTTTAGTATCAATATATTCAGAAAACTGTGTTTATATATCTAAAACGTAAACACTCTAATGAAATTATATAAATACACGGTGTATGTGAGTATGTGTAGATGTTTGTGATTGAATACATAAAAATTTGTTTTCGATAATATAATCGTACATTATTTGAGATACACGTACGATCGTATGTACGTCAATTGGTCTAATTCGGCTATCCATATTCTATCTAACGGCCTACAAATAGTATTTTATTTATTAAGTTAAAAAAATTATATTTACTTTATAACAGATGCGTGAGAATAAACATTTTCGAGCTCAGAAAGTCGAAAACTATATTTTCTTATGATATCTATCTTAGATGGAAAATTATGAAATTACGATCGTATCGTGTGCTGAATACTGTACCTTACGTACCGGAGCGATTATGTAACGTTGTAAATGCAACTATAAATAAGAAATCGAATGTAGAAAAGATGAATGCTTATTAATTTTTGATATAAAATGACGGAGAATTGATAGTTTTAATATTGAGAATTAAGTCTAAAAACCTGCTCCAAATATGTAACGTCTATATAAAAGTATTTAGCGAAACATAGTTTTTTAGCAAAATTAATTATTAAGCATATAAATTGTTTTGTTAACATATTGTCAAAATGCATATTTAAAAACTTATACGTAAGTGTTGAATTTGCAGTGAAAAGCAATTTGATATAATATGAAAATATTAGTAAAACGAATTCGTCATTTGTATTGAAACAGTGAGTTATTGTTTGAATTTGAATTATATATGGTTTATTTCGACATTTCAGGAAACCTATAGAAATATAAAAAGTTAATAGTGAATGTTTACCAGACTGTTTTTATACGCATATATCAAAATTGTCAAGTAGTTCGATTTGTCAAACAAAGAAGGACAAAATTGATAAAACAGTATTGCATTATAGCAAGAATATATAAAGGGTATATTATTTAAAATGTAAAAAAAAGTTTATATCCATCTTGTATACTTAATATTACGTATAATGCACAAACATTAACCAAAAATATTATATAGGTAAATATATAAAAATCATTGGAACTCGGAAGACAATTTCAAGACTTTATAACATACACAGAATATAATGTTAAAATGATGCTCAAATATTTAATGTACATATTTATTGTATTTGCAAACAATCAACATGTCAGTGACATTCCGGGAATGTTACAAAAGTATACAAACTCTTACAATAGTACAACCACTGGACAAAGTAGTAGAGAGCAGATTTTTACTGAGCCGTAGAGACGGCTGAAAAGTTAGTGATTTTGGCAAAGTCGCGTCGCGTCACGAATCATGAGCGGTCAAGGATTGTTAGATGAAAAAAATATACGTATTAAAAGTAAAGAAACACATTATCATTGAATACGCAAATTTACGCGCGTCTACATACAAACATACATAAATACCCATACATATTACATGTATAATAGTTGGCAAATGAAATGCATTTTACGGGGCATGAGCGAATGATTAAAAAATATGAATACCTTATGAAATATGAAAATTTCGATTCTCAAAGATAAAATAAAAGTAAATCGTAAGAGTAGGCTGTTAATAATAAAATTAGGATCCATTTTTTCAAATGGATTCAAATTTACTTTGCTATCAATGAGATACTTAGAGAATAGTGTATCTCTACATCCAATCAACCCGGAATTTTAATGGGCTCTAAAAAAAAGATTCGCTTTGATGAGATTGAAATTTTCTCTTATGCCTCGCAATTGAATATGTATCATGTGCTGATATTACCATTTTTCAGATATAATATATGATGAATTTTACAAGAAAAGTTTCTGAAAAATATTGTAGGTGTTACAGTAACCAAATAATTTGTATAATTTTTTTTTAAAAAACAACGCGCCATCAATTATGTCAAAAAATCTGGTTAAAAGAAAGTTTTAGAAGTAGTTATTCATGAGAAACCTGCTATATTAATACATTCAATGCCGCGCACGCATATGTTGCGTGAGAGTGTTTGCAATAGCTAAGCACCTAACCAAGCAAGAGGTGCGTTCGCCTTTCTTGCACTTTAGAATAGTGTTGAAATTTTGTACTGTAATTACTTCAAACAGAAACAGTCCTATTTTTCTTATTTTGATACTTTTTAATTTTAAACTAGCATATTCAGAATTTTTTTTATTATCAAGTGAATAAAATAGTTTAGCACAGAAGGAAGTATAAGCAACAAAAGGTTAGCAGTGAATGTGTTAAAGTTTGTTCATCGATCAGCTCTGATTGTGAGATAAACTTCACATAACATATTTTTATACTTATGATACTAATTTATGATCTTAGTTAATGAATTAGCAAATTAAGTGTAAATAAAATGGCAGCAAAAGCACAGTTTTTAAAAACTGGATGTTTGTTCATGAAAAAAAATACGGGTATGGAAAACCGTTTCTAGTGGAATATACCGGTTGACATTCCATTAGTAACAAATGATTTTTTTTTAAATGACAAATGGAGCCCAATGTACCAGATTGATGAAAATACTATTGCTAATCGATAGCCGTTCTTCGTTTCACTAATATAGCAATATTTACATTCTTTTATTTAAAAGTTATGCATTAACAACTTAAGAAAAATCAATTTAATTTTATTTAATCCTGGTCAATTTTTTTTGTTCTGTAAAATTGCATTGAAAAATTTATTATCAATAAAATTAAACAGTAAATAATTTCAGTTAAAAACTACTTTTATTCAGTGGAAATATTAAAAAAAAAGATTGAATTATTCGAGCGAAACCAGTTGAAACCGGTATATTACTATTCGAAAACCGGTTTTCTAAAATGTCGGTTTTCAATCAGACTGGGATTTAGCGGACTACTAATTTGATTATATATTTATCATATTAATAAAAATGTAATATTTATATTTTCAACAAAAAAAATATAATTTTTTTGGATCCTATTTACGGACGTAGAGTGCATTTTATTTGCAATGTATGTATTGTATATATGTATGTAGAGGGCGCATCGCGTTTTTCTGCGTGTTATTTCTCAACCCATAAATAAAAAGTAAACGCTCAAAATAATATTGATATAGAAAACTATCTAAAATATATATAATCGTATAAACCCGACCGCAGTACACGTTACACAAAACATGCACATTAAAATAAATTATTTAAATATAGCAAGAAATGTGATTCAGGGAATGTCCTCGGTTTAATTAATCATCCCCATCATGTTCATTGAATTTCACGTGCGTGATTCACGGATCGAAGAAAGCCAGTTTTACACTATGCAAAATGTCTGAACATTCGACAGCCAAAAACAATCAAATTATTTGTTAGTTGTTCCTTTATGATTGTCAAAGGTTTACTTATGTACGATGTGTATAAATGTTTATAAAAGAATTTAGGATGTTTTTGTAATGCGGCCAATTTTAACAGGCTTTTTCAGGTTTCTCGGTAGTTTTGTGAGCTGTCTGATTGCTATATTATATATTTTAATGCAAATGAAGAAGAAGCTGTTAAAATTGTCGCAATTCTTCCATACACATTTGAATCAGAATTATAATTAGATAGTCTAGTGCATAATAATGTTTTATAATTTTGTACATTCAATTAATATGGATAAGGGTATAGATAACGAAAGAACAGAATTATGTCTGGTGTAGAACCGAGCACTGAATACAAAGAAAATAAAAACAAAGCACATTTTTGTATAAGACTACACATAGAGTTTAGGAATAGGACTGTCTAGTTGATATGTGAAGCGGCCAATTGCGCCGGCTCGTAATTTCAAAAAAATACAAAAAGTCTAATAAAAAAATTAATTACGCTCTCCCGCCCAGAAAGCAGAAAAGCAGAAACCGTTGCTTTTATATACGATAATTATTTAATAATTACAACTTTTTCTACGTTTGATACAGATACATCGATCAGACACACATGTAGATTATTATGCGAATCACAAAATCTATTGGGATATTAAATTACGGGCCGCGTTCACCGCGGTCACAAATGTTATTTGTTATAATCAATAAGCTGTTACGTACTAATATATAATAATGAAAAATTGATAATGTTAAGCGAGTGAGGTGTCAAATGAGAACCAATATACATGACTGTAGTGTATCCGAAGAATGTCGGCAAATAAAACATGTATCCCACTCTTAACACTATTGTTTGTTTTATTTTCATTAATAATCAAATGTACTTTATTATAGCAAGTTATCCTAAATACAATTGTATGGA